AGCACGTGAACGCAAATAAAACGCGAGAATGTTGACGGAAGTGTGCATACAGGAATGATGGATTTAATACGCGACGCGGAGTATTATTTAATAAAAAGTTACAGCCTTTTTATGCGCAGGAGATTGTACATACTTTCGACGCACGCACATGCGTTATATGCATGCGTGCATTATACGCACGCAGGCCGTTACAGTAAAGCGATTTTACAGTCGCTTCCATGACGCCACTCTTTACGTCAATACTATAATTCTATTTTGGAATTAAAATTTTTAACATCTGTACACAGAGAGAATATTGTAGTAAAAATTATATTACAATTCTAGTAAGCTGGGAATAGACTTACACTATTATGAAAATTATAATAAAATATAATAAAATGAGAGACTATAAACATAATATTTTTTACTATATTTATAGTAATTTTTACTATGTTTATGGTCACTTTTATTATGTCATTATAATTTTTATCATAGTGTCAGTATATTCTCGGAGTACTAAAATTGTATTGTAATTTTTACTAAAATTTTCTATGTGTATATTCTGAAGGCTCATAGTGTGTGTTTAATACACGGGAAAAATGAAGTCTTACTTAGCGTTTTTAAATGGCAGAAAACGCGCAAAATGAGGATTTCTCGACGAACCTAATAGAGCCGATTGTTCCAATCTCTTGGTAAGCTACCTAACAATTAAATCATATGTCTGTTTCTGTTAAATTTGAGGGAAAAACGAAAATAGATATATGATTTGACTGTCAGGTAGCTTACCAAAAGGTTAGAGCAATCAGCCATAAATATAATAGGTAAAACAGATGATATAAGCTTTGGAGAAAGTAGATGCTAATCTCTTGAGCGCCACGCATTTTATTTCTCGCTGAAGTTTCATTAAATTTGGGATATGGGGGATTTCAGACTCATTAATTATTTAAAGTAAAAAGGCGCTAAAATCTGAAATAGCGGTTCTAATATGGCGACTATAAGTTTTCAAAATTAGTAATCTCGCTTTTAGCATTATCCGGAAATAACGATATTTCTTTGATATGAAAAAAAGATTTACATTTTATACAAGAAATTTACAGCAAAGATGTTATCAATATTTCAATAGTTTATTGTAAAAAATAGAAAATTTGGCTTATAGAAAATTCGGAAAAAATTTACAAAATATTGTTAATTGTTCTGAATAAACTATTAATGTTTCGATATATATATATATATATATATATATATATATATATATATATATATATAT